CCCCCCCCCCCCCTCTGGCAGGGCCATGGAATCGCATCTCGCACCTCGACATGGATATATTCTTCCTATACCTGGGCGATGTGTATTTGCAAGTCTTCTTCCGCGAGCGAAAGTGATATTCTAAAGCGCAATACATGCGGTAACGTTGTGTACAGCTGCACGACTGTTTCAACTCTTTGAACAGTAGAATTAGATGTGGGCAGGCTGCAACACCTCCGGTGCCGTCGTGTTGCACCTCCCATGTACACAGGCATGCTATGCGATGGTACTTGGCAACGTCGTGTAGAGGTGTACGACTATTCAACGCCATGCACAGCAGGTACTACCAACACAAAGAGACAAAGGTTGTTGTGCACAACTCGTTATTGTTGTTGTACAGAAGGTAGGACTCTCCGAACGTGAGAAGTTATCGAGACCCACAAAGGGGTGAGCCGATTGTGAGTCCAAAGGTGCAAGCACGACACCAACAATTCCCCGATGTACTTTTACGGCTGCCCCAGAAAAACGGACAATGACCCCTAGATACCTTATCGCAATCTCCCACCTCTCCCTCGGACCGACAGTTATGCTCGCTACTGTACGCCGTGAAAACATACCGGTATATTCCAACGCGATGTGATGATGCCTCTTCTCACCTCGTTGGGGTGAGTATGATGGCCCCGACTTGGTTACGCTTGAGGTCTACCTCCCTTCTCAGGATCATCTCGATCGCCGGTACGACGAACGCGAGGGTTTTACCGGACCCCGTAACCGCCTCCACGCACACGTCTTTGTTGGACATGAACAGGGGCATCGTCGCTGCCTGTCGACGGGGGGGGCACGGGTAGATGTCACCACCTCGGAAGGGTTGAGGAACACGAAGACCCTTGTGTTGTAAAACACACAAGAGCATAGCTTCGATCAATGTGGACAAGGAAGCACACAAAAACACAAGTAGCAGCGAGTCAATGTAGACAAGGAAGACACACACAAACAGCTATTCTTCTACCATGTGTTCGTACATTGCATATATACCAAGTCGCAAGTGGTGGTTCTTATGCCGTGTTTTCCATATCGAAGTTGTTAGGGTTAGAGACCATGGATACAAAAGACAGGGGCCGAGGGCTCTGGGGGATATGGCGGGCCGCCGGTTGGCGAGACGGATGACGGGGGTATCGCGCACATGTTGGGGGCAAGTGTGACGCAGGGGGATGAGGGCAGAGACGTGTGGGAAAACTATGTGTCGTCAAGTCGAGGTAGGAGTCTGACGAGGGCATCGGGGGGGGGGGGGGGGGGGG